ATAAGTACTGATTTTACTCTTATAAACTGGCGTATTTAAATTAAGATAAAGTAGCGGGACATGATGTGTCCAAAAGCTATTTAGTATATAATACAACTGTCTAAATTTGCTGTATTATTATTCATAAATGATTGAAGAAACGTTTTTTCTTTGCAAGCATAATCAGAATACTTAATGTATTTAAGGACAATTTATTTATAGGCAATGCGCCTATGGAAGTGGTATACTTTAACCATTCTTCCTCCTGTGTAAGAGAATGATATATAAGATTTTATCCAGGATCTTCTGAAAGTGCATCCAGATCTTCGATTCAACTTTTCAATCAAATAGACTTCACTAAATTCACTGTAGTCTTCCACAGGTAAAGCATTGTACAAAGAACTCAACTCAAGCGAACGCCTAAAAGGCGTCTATCAAAAATTTGCTACATACTAAGAATTGTAGGTTTTTCCTAATGTGTTCTACTAAAGAAAATTGAGTTTAAATTCTAAAGCAAACTCAGATAAACTACCTTAGTATGGGTATGTAAAGGAAAAGGAAATAAAAAAGAAAACAAATAAAACTCGGCCAATGTACGATTTTACTAGTTTGCACAAAGTTCAAAATATTTCCAATCCACGTCGCATCTCTCAAGGCATATTGGTAAATGACATCACGGCCTCTGTACACAAGCGCGGAAAAGCGCACAAGCATTTGCGTAGTATGTGTGTGAATAAAATACTTAAATGCACATGTGTGGACATGCATATGTTGCCGTGTTGCTGTATACTACTACAATAGGGTTGTTTGGCAAAAATAAAATAAAAAAATTGAAATAAGTATACATGTAATTGGTGGCACACGTTGACAGCCATTGCTGTCACTGTTGTCGCAGCGGCGATAAAACAAAATAAGCGAACGTAAATCACGTGTTGTGCTGTTTTGTCTTTGTTTACCGTTGTTGTTGTGCCTTCGGTTAATTAATTTACAAGCAACAATTTTTAAAAATGAATTACGAGATGCGAAAGTGAATACGAATTTTTAATTCGGTGCACCTGATTTATATGAGCAAAATAATATTAGTGGGAGGGTCCAGCTGTCAAATTTTATTTATAATAAGTAAGGAAGAGCTAAGTAAGGTTATAACCGAACATTTCATACTCTTGCAACTTGCAAGAATTAACGCCAGGGTAATACTTTCAGACACATAAGGCTTGTTAGTTATATGGATTCTTGGACGAGTTTACACACTATTTTACTCATTCCAAGCACAAAAATTCACCGTTATTAGAAAAATACGCACACTAAATCTTACTAAGATAACTCACATATTGGCTGATGTATGCGGTATAAAGTCACCCGCAAGTTGGAAAATCTCTATACTAGGTATATGGGGACTTAGAGAAGTATTGAACCTATTCAAATCAATTTTGATAAACCGCATACTATTATGACACACATTGATCAAAATTTTCTGCAAAAAGTCGACTGTAGACTATGTGGTCTTTCGGTACCCAGGGGTTTGAACAGTTTCCATTTATACAATTTTTGGTCATAAACTGTCATACTTTAAAGGCATTATTCCTGCAAAGTTGTATTCATTTATAGTAATTGCTTCTTGATTTGTATACTGGAAAGTGAAAGAATCAAATGGAGTTTGAAGTTGTATATATGGGAAGTAGGCGTGGTTGGAATCCGAATTCTCTCATTTTCATGCTGTGTGGGTGGTACCATAGATATGTACATTAAATGCACTACGAGCACTTTTTCAAAATATTTGCCACGTATATATCTCGACTAGTTTTAGGGCAAACGTACAACTGTTAGGTGAACCAAACTATTATACTCTGAAGCAACGTATTGCAAGGGTATAATGAAAATGAGGTGAACATAATAAATGGAGCCTAGAATATAAAATTTGTATTTTTTCAACTATAATAATAATAATTTGTCAAAGTTTGGTGATTTTTGTTGAAGGAGAGTTGCAAAAATAGTTCTTATACTTTCTTTTTATACCCTAAACAGGCATATCGGACCATAACAGCATATGAGTTATGGTATTGAAAACTACTTTATTCTACAATACACATAGGTATTAAATTTTAAATAAGTTATTGTCCGATCCTATTTAGGAGCATAATATAACTTCACGGGAGCATTTCTTATAGCATAACAGTGATTAAATCGATCTTTATCTTCATTTTAATATGCTAGTTCGTGTGGCAGTTAATATTTAATTGGTCCGTTCTCAACAATTGCTTTTGAGATTGTACCCCGCCCACTAACCATATAAAGGTTCTGCTAACAACTACTAAAAGTGCGATAAATCAATAACTAAATGCGTCAGAGATATTCAATTTAGCATTCAATATGACACAAAAGAAGAAGTCAATATCAAAAGTGGATGATGGGCATGACACCGAACACATTTACGGGATATAACATATCTCCGAACCTACTCGACCAATTTTAAAAAAAAAAATCGCCAATTATATTTTCCGATTCCTATGTTCCACTGCGAAAATTGGCGAAAGACCACGCCTATTCCATCTCGAGTTTAAAAATTGCCAAAATCGCATCATAACTGTTAAAGTCCCCAGATACCGAAAATAACCCCAGTGCCTTCGACTGAATGTGCACTTAAAATATGGCTTAATGTGTGCAATATATTATTGAAATTCGGATAAAATCCTTGCCTTATAAATGTATGCCTGTGTGTCAAAAATAGGTGGAATCGTGTCCCCTATCTGAAATCTTAGCCCCTAATAGAAAAATTTCGAGTCGATCTTTCGTCTGACTTTACACCGCCCATATCGGTCAATATATGACTTACTATGTTAATAAAATCGTGTGAGTTTTTTTTAGAAATTATGAGTATTTTTTCCTAAAATGAATGGTGTCGGATAAAAACTAGTATCTGGATTTTCAAACGTCCGGTTAACTTTAATCCCTACATATTGTTCACGGTATGCGAGGTACTTGAATAAAGCTCAAAGATCATCTTTTTCTGCAGTAATGTCAAAAATAGATAAAATCGCGTCAATACTACCCCTATCTACCATATACTTAATATAAAATTTGAGTTTAATGCGAAAATATGTGAAATTGGGCAACCAATTGAATCCCATATAAATCTCTGCTCCAAATTTAAATTATTTAGCTTGGTTAAAATCTTTCAAATTAAGTGTCAGATTAAGTAGACAATCTTTCTTAAAAATTATATGAGAGAAATTGATTAGTCCATACCACAAATCGCTAAATTAATCAATTCCGATCTTCTAGTTGACGTTTTGCATATCAACTCAATATATGTGACCTGGTCTACGAAAAGGGAGCTGACGTGCGAAAGCTAGTTTTCTATCACGTGAAAAAGCATTTCATCTTCCATCCGAATCAACTAAAAAGTGAAAATTGATTTTTTGACACCTAAGCCCCCTTTCCGTAGACCAGGTCACATATTATATTAATGCAGCCTCTTCAAGTTTATGTCAGATATACATATATGTATATTTTGAAGATTATTTTAATATAATTTTAGCTGACAGAAAATAAAATATGGCAATAAGACTAAGTAGTACCATGACCTAGTGTGAATAGTGGCCGAGAGTCAAGCAGGGATATGAGTACTTGGGCAGAAAGCGAAAATTTTAACGCGCGAATTTCTCGATTTTTTCATTTTTACGATTTTGCTTAATTAGCGGACAGGAAAGAAAAAGATTAAAAGTCGTATGGAATTAGGGCAAAGTTTATTATCTTTGGCATAAAATTATTTTCTATTTAAACTAAAAACACTGAGAAAAGTCAAATTATTTTTAAACAAGATAAATCAAAAAATTTTTTGTTAAAAACCGCTTTTTTTCAGTATCAAAAATTTTTCACAATTATTGGAATTTTCTTAGTTTAACTAGAAGATAAGTTATTAACAAATATGAATCTCTTTGAATTTTTTGTTTCGGATAGAAATTGCGGCCTGCATCCTGCTCTTCATCCGGCAAATGCAGATGCGAGATTCATCGGGCAATTGCTTCCCACAGTCAAAATATAAAAGATTTCGTATCCAACAATTTGCGCATGATGTTTAAATATATAACTTTAAAAAATTTCACTTTAATCAACTATTTCTTTCTCTCTCAAAAAAATTCTCAAAAAAGTCGATTTTTTGAAATCTTTCGCAAAATTTTTAAAATAAAGTTTTGCCGACACCTGGACTTAGATTTGCCTTATTTGTGTTATTACTGAATGGTTTTTGAATTTTGACATAATTAAGATTGAGAAAATTTCTTAAGTTTATTTAATCTGTACACTTTCTAAAACCGATGCAGTAGCTTATGAGTTTATCCTAAACAAAACGTGACACGCAACTTTTATGTAAACATTATAACTGTCAAAAAATTTACAATTTGTAATAAAATTTACTTTTTCTTTTATACAGGTCACCTTACACGCAAAACAATTTGTTTTAACTGTTGAAAATAATTCACTTTTTGTTTCAAAAAACCTACAAAGCCTTGCTGCAGGATGCAAATTTTTTTTAATTTTTTATTTCTAGAATGATATCGTCTATTATATGTTTTCGCACACCCTGATATAAGATAATATTTTAATAACAAAACGCTTGGAAAATTTTGGAAATGTTGCGGTAAATTGAAGTAGTAAAACGAATAAAAAAATTGAAAAATTATTATCACGCAATAAACAACTGTGTTTTTTAAATTTTTAGTTTTCTAATTCATTAAAGCCCAAAAAATTATTTTATTAACATTACAAGAGGATTAAAAAGTTATATGTTATGGTGTTAAACATTTTTCTTTACTTTGTACATAATAAACTTAAAATGCGCTCAAACCTTTCACTAACAACAAACTACGTAATTTTCATACAGCTTATTGCACATACCTCTCACAATAGCAACAAAAATTCTGCGATTCACCATTAATTCACTAAATTAAAGTTGTATTAAGCTTATGTTAAAAATAAAACTTTGCTTACGATTGTAAAAGGGTAGCTTTTTTTCAACATACTTGATTGTAGCACGACGCTGTCACACACGTTGCCGCTTTTGCTGCTGTTGCCGCCGTTGGGTCACCTCTCGCAGACGTAGCTACACAATAGAAATATTTCCAAAAATTATTTGCACACATACGCCGTCACTGTATTAAATAATATTAATAGACGCCTGCTGTTTACTATTATTCACACCGCTCGTCTGAATAAAGCAAAACACACGCACATACAATAAAAATCAATTATTTAAAAAACTGGCAGACAGTGCTGCTGCTAATGCAAACGCTACTGCTAGTGCAACGCCACACTTCACATTTTCCACACACCGAATGGCCTTTCCACCCCAAAACACATTTGCGCTGAGCTTTATAGCTGACCCACACCACCACTTGCCACCACAATAAACTTGCAACAACTTTCAAACTCTTTAAGGGCGTCCACTTTTCCCGCAACAAGATTTTGTATTGCAGTTATTTTCAAGCGCTTACTTTTATTAAAATTTCGACTGGAAAGCCTGCCGACAAATTGTCAGTAACTTGCCAGCTACGCTAATAATTTCCGCTTTCCGTTTTGTGACACAACAGCAACAAAATGCTGTCAACAATATGTTATTTGTGACCTGTCATTTATTTGCAGATACTTTTCAAAGATTTTCCTTTGTGTGTGCCACAAGAATTGCTTATTTACTTTTTTACTTATTTATTGGTCACTTTCAGCTGTTAGCGAACTGACTGCGAATTAACTGCGAATTAACTCCGAATGTCTTGGCGCACGACTTGAAACTGCATTCAAAGTTTTCTTTGTTGGCGTGAAAGACAGAATTTCGAAAGATAAATAATCGAGGCAAACTCAATGGTTGTTCGAAAGAGCTGCGAGGCAGCAAACAAATACACTTGGTATGGCACATGCGCAGTGTATTTGTTGTTATTTTCCAATTTGACGTACGTATATGCGTATGAAATGTGCTTCCCTATCTCTAATTAGGCACAGGTGTATTTGGTTGGGTTATTTCTGAGAGCGCAACCCCACGGGTGTTACGTGTGTGAGCGGATGCATAGGGAAGCTTTGGTTGTGTGTACTCCGAATAAGCGACTCTCAGTTGAGGACCTGCGCAGACTTTATGTGCGAAAATATTGCGAAACATTTTATTCGATCTTCGAATTTGACAGTTGTTCGTCGTTCGTACCTTGTATAAATGTCAAGTTTCTATTTAAAACTTCGAAATAAAAACGGAAACAAAATCAAGGAGGCAGTTATTTTTTGTTAAAAGAATGAGATGCAGATGTACAAATGAAACCTTTCGAAATTCGTTGAGTTCGACTATTTTTGAAACTTTGTTATTATTAAATGACCATTGTTATTAACTTGCCAAAATAAAAATAAAAAATATAAAAATAAATCAAAAAACTTACAAAAATTAAAAAAAATAAATAAAAAGAAATAAAAAAACCAAACATTTTCTATCCATCATATTCCCCAACTTGCAAAGATTAAAGCCGTTGAAATACATAAGGCCGCCTTCTTTATTGATTTATTGTGCTTTAAGTAGTTTTTATCTGTACCGTTATATGGAGAGTGAGTGATGTTATAACCCTATTTTTTATATTTTCACACTATCGATAAGGGTTCTTATACGATTTACCCATATTGAGGGAATTTAGTTATTTTTCCTTGAAGGATTTGAGAGGACGGAGCCACGCCAACTTTTTCAAAATTTTTTGCTCACAGATGTGCCTTGCTACTGCGGCCCTCTGTGCCAAATTACACTTATAAAATCACTTTATAGATTTTCTTTTTGATGGCGTCAAAGCACTCGTCCTTACTTTTTGGCAAGGAACGTGTATATCAAGTTTCAACAAGTATCTAGATATTTATTAATTTCAACTCGTCTGTAGATGGGTTATACTTACCGATTCCAAAATATTTCGTTTAATTTCATAAAACAGTCTAAAGTAAAAAAAAATTTTAAATTTAATAAAACACATTCTTTAAAAAAAGTTTTTTGTCTAATTTTCTTTATTTACATATCTAGCAATTAGAAACAGAGTTATAACTGTATAGCGTAGGTTTACTCACAACTTGTGCATCCTAAACTATGGGTAAATAATAAAAATGTACACAAAGTTTTCGAAGTTACAAACATCTCTCACAAAAATAAGTCTGATGCCATAACGAAGGCATTTCGTTCGGCAAATATACTCTACGCGTGGAAATTCTTTACTCATCCATTTCCTAAGCAAAACTTCGTGTATAAGAATATGCGAGCAAATACGAATAAATGTACAAAGAAATTATAGCATCTGACTTCAACGCCCACTGCTTGCCTGCTCAACGTCATTCCAAAAGAAATTTGTTTTTGTATTTCCTTTTCCTTTATACTGTGCGAATTATTAATGCAGCCCAGACTCAATGACGCCTACGTCTGGCCCATTTATTATTTACTCAAGCGGTCATGAGTGTGCAAACGCACAGACACTTGTACAGCAGTAAGGGATGCAAATGCATATATCCATATTATATACATACTATGTATGTACATATAAGATCTACATACATAGATACATATGCATACATTCGTGTTTGCAGCACGCGAACTTTCATACATCTTTTTCGGTATTTTCATACTAAAAAGTAAAAACATACATATGCTTATTACAATTATGCATTTTGCTCGAATCACTAGACAGAACACAGTATCTAAGCGCCTTGAAGCATGCAAAAGACAAATATGCATACATGTTTTACGTAAATAGCGCTAGTCTGGCTGTAATATTTCTACCTTGTGTTAGTCACTTCACTCCTATTTGCTTTAAATAACAGCATGTTGATTTCGTACTTCTCACATTTGTGTATGTATGTTGGAATTTTATTACTGAAGTTTACTTTAGTTGCAGGTACCGCTACTACGAAGTTAAACCAACTATTTCGATTTGATTCATCCAACTAGTAAATTAATGTTTATTTTATTTTTGCACCATATGGTTCGTTGTTTGTGTTAAAATGTTTATTTTTGTTGACTCACAAAGTTTTTAGCACCAGTCAACTGGGCCGCATGACTTACAAAGTTTTCTTCGCTGACGTGAATAGTGGTGTAAACTTTAAGATACCCTTTAACACACATATTCTAATACATTTGATTTTTAGATTTAGATGTAGATTTGAATTTAGCAAAAAAAAATTATAATAAATAAAGATGCATTTTCTATACTTTTTGACACATGGAGATCAAACTTCACAAGAACATAAAAAACGTTGTACTAATCAAGGAAGAAATGGTTTCCCAACGTTTGCTTATAGTTACTTTAAAGGGATTAGTAGTTTGGATCAAATTTCAATCTGCAAAATCAAAATCAGATGGTATATTTGAAAAGTTCACTAGCTGTTATCATAAAATATACTGCAAAAATTATTTCCTGTTGTGTTAGTTTGATAAAGCAACGCTTTAAATGTTTTTGCGCCAAAACTTCCAGTGCTCGGGTGGATATTTATCCGGTATTTTCCGATGGCGTTGTTATACATAGTCTTCTCTGCAACAATACAAGAAGTTATTAGAATCGCATACATTTTCCTACACAATACTAACATATTTCACGCAAAGACCTGCATTTATAAAAAAATTTTGTGTTAAATCCGCCATTTTCCCAAGCAAATATTTATTACTTCTACTCTTAAACACAAAAAATAATAATTTTTTAAATGTAAATAAAATCCCTTACCACTTCCAATGCAAAATTCCCACACAGTTGGTACTTGTGTTTGCAAATTTCTTTCCAGCACGCCATGAACGCTGCCAACTGTCATATGCGCTTTTCGTAACAGAAGTGGTAGCGCAGTCGATTTGACAGCACCATGCCTTTGCAACACCCTGTTATCGGCGACGGCATATTCGCGTTTCGTGTGAACGTTTCTATTAAAAATTCACTGCTTTTAACTCGAAGATCCAAACAAATTTATCACCATCCAAAGCACAATGCATTGTACTATAAGGATTTTATGAAATTTAGTCCGGAAACGAGAAGAAAACGTAAAATCTTCGACGACGAAAATTCACTGCATCTTTTGCGAACATCGACGAGCGAGGTAAGTTTCACGAATTTTCTTTGTTTTCACCCGAATGCGCGCGTCACAGAACTGAATTTTTATTCGGTTTCCACCTCCCAGTCATGTTGCTGAGCGGTGGAAATACACAGCGCTGTTGTTGTATTGACAAATGTTGCAGCAACATGTAGCCAAACAGGGTGAATTTCGTCGCGCAGACGCGGTAAAACATGTTGCAAATAACAGTGCAATATAAACGTAGGGTGCAAAGGGTAACGGAACCCCCAAAAACTTTTATTATTGCAGGGCATAAATGCCAAATTGAGAATAAAATGTTATATCATAATTTAATTTTTTTAGCTAAAAACAAACACGTATTTAAATTAGCACCCTCACAAAGCATGGCCAATACCAAAGAAACCAAGTATGTTACCGAAGTGCCGAGTAGTTTGAAACAATTGGCACGTCTTGTTGTACGGGGCTTCTATTCCATTGAAGATGCACTTATCATTGATATGTTGGTGCGTAATCCTTGCATGAAGGAAGACGATATTGCGGAGCTGCTACGCTTCGAAAAGAAACAAATGCGTGCGCGCATATCGACGTTACGCAATGACAAATTCATACAGATACGCTTGAAAATGGAGACCGGACCCGATGGCAAGGCACAAAAGGTCAACTACTACTTTATTAATTATAAAACTTTTGTGAATGTTGTTAAATATAAATTGGATTTGATGCGTAAACGTATGGAAACAGAAGAACGTGATGCCACAAGCCGTGCTAGCTTTAAATGTACAAACTGCGATAAGACATTCACTGATCTTGAAGCCGATCAGTTGTTCGATTTCAATACTGGAGAATTCCGTTGCACCTATTGTGGTAGTCCTGTCGAGGAAGACAGCTCGGCAATGCCAAAGAAAGACTCGCGGTTAATGCTGGCACGTTTCAATGAACAATTGCAACCACTCTACGATTTGTTACGCGAAGTGGAAGGCATTAAGCTAGCGCCAGAAATACTCGAGCCTGAACCTGTGGATATCGACACAATACGCGGGTATGCTGAGTTACTGCTAAAAAGGAAGTTAAAATATTTTTTATTTTCAATAATATACATTTTTTAGCATTACGAAAGCACAGAATCAACGGCCCGATGGCCAACAATGGTCAGGTGAGGCAACACGCAATCAAGGATTTGCCGTGGAAGAGACCCGCGTCGATGTTAGTATTGGCGGTGAGATACAGGAGGCAGTTACCGAGCGTAAGGCACGTCCTGTATGGATGACCGAGAGTACGGTAATAACGGAGGAAGCTCATGATGCCACCGAGGCCATACTTAATGAAGCGGCGCAATCATCCACACAACATACGATAAATGTGGGCGGTGCAACCAATAATCGTAGTAAAAAAGAGAATGAAGATATTATGTCGGTGCTATTGCAACACGAGAAGCAAAGTAATCAAAAGGATGCGCTAGCGAAAAGCCTTAAATACGGTTCTTCAAATGCGGACTCCAGTGATTCTAGTGATGATGACAAAGATATCGATAATGTTAAAATACGTGAGTAAAAGAATTTTAAATGCTTTTTTGTTGTGAAGTTGTTGTGTTTATAAAAAATATTATTTAACTTTAGCGAAAGTTKATTACAACAACTATATCAATTCTGAATCAGAAGATGACGACGATGTTCCTACGGTGCTTGTTGCCGGACGACCACATCCAATAGATCAAATCAATGACGAACTCATAGCTCAAATGACACAGCAAGAGAAGGAAAACTATATACACGTTTATCAGCAGCATTACAGCCATATTTATGATTAAAGCCAAGTGCCTGTAGAGGCAAGCATGGACTGTAGAGTTGGAATTATGTATATTTTTTACTAGTTAAATCTTATTTCCAATTATATTGCAATTTATTTAATTTCGTTTTATTTGCTGTTGAAGTTCCCAACATTTCGTTGCATACGAAAGCACACCACAAATAAAAAAATATAATATTAAATATGAAGCTAATTTTTTTTGTTTTGAAATTATTCAACTACAGAATAAATGCTCAGTATAAGTTATTAATGAATATGTTGAATAATAATACATGCATTAATTTATTCTACAAATTAAAAAATAAGTGCGAATTGACTTAAACATTAATAATAAATCAGCAATAATGAAAAATTTATAAAAGTTTTTTTGTTACGCCTACACTGGACACTTGAGTTGAATATTCGTAGCAACATGTTGCGAGTTACGAGATACTCTCGCGTATGTTATTGCACAAATCACACTCTAGCAACATCGAGCATCTGATTCGTTGACACTTCAATCATTTCTGACATTTCAGCATTTTTAATTGCCCTCTTTCGTTATTGCATTTCGTGAAATCAAATGAAAATGTAATAACGCTCAGACAAGTGTCTATTATATATCATTTAACACACATTTTATTTAAAAATTGTTAAATTGAATGAAACGCTACACAGTGTAAGTAAAAATCAAGCGACATTTCTGCACGCAACCTATTAGTTTGCCATCTGTGTTGGCAAGTTAACGTGTTAAATTAAAAGTTCTAATAAGAAAGTGTGAGGATATGCGGCGAATACCATGTGAGAAAATTGTGCAATTCAAACAAGTGTGTCTAATGCAAAGCATGTTCGGTCAATTATAGTGTATAATAACGCTTTTTATTACGAAAGAATGTCAAAGTACTTAGCTCAGAGCATTTGTAGTATTTAGAAATATTATTAAAATTACAAGCTTAATTGTTGCAGTACAAATACTACGATTGTATTACCCACACATAACTGTTACTTTATTTTAGTTAATCAGCTGATAGTGACTGAATAAAATATTTACAAAAAGATTAGAAATACATAAGTGCAAAGGCCGTTTTAAAATGTTTAGCATGCTAGATACATTTGATTGCACTGAGTCTACAAAGTGATTTGAATAATTTGATGCATATATACTTACATACATRCATACATATTTAGTGTAATAGGACACTATCGCATACTTGAATTCAAAAACTTTGAAGACTGCATAAAAGTGCGCGCCTCAGCAAATAAACACAACTTGAGCACATTAACTCCTACTATAACTACATATGTATATCTTTTAAGATTTTAAGTAAATAATGTTAATTATTGTATACGCAGCAATAAGGCAATGATAACTGCTTACAGGCATTATTATACGCTTAATTTGGAATTAAAGAAGTCGGCGCATTGACATTAACTAGTCATTTAATATACTGCGTACTCGTCAAAAAACAACATTTTATTTAAAGATTACAATTCACCAATAGTTATTACGTCTATTTATGTACGTTAGAGCGTCTGGCGTTATCAACGGTAAGGGAAAACCAAAATGATAATATAAAATGTTACAATAAGATGCAAATATCACGTAAAAAGATTAATAAAATATTTTCGAGACACAGATACTCGTGCAAGATAATTTCAAACACGCCAAGGAGGTTTGATCATACAATAAAAATTAGTAACAATTAACCATTGGAATTGTTCACATTGGAGTGGAGTAACGCAGACGAGCAGCGATGGCACCGAAAATTGACAAGGAGCTGCTGCCGATGAAGGGACATTATTTCTTTTTCAATGCAGGTGAGCATTTTTTAACTGTAAATTGTGCTAGTTTCTTTGTTCAATAATAAAAACTATTCAATAACGTACTTGTACCTTTATCTATACGAATATGTAATATGAGTCAATTCATAAAGTGCAATTTTTTAGCTATCTATTCAAAAGGGTTTAATACCACATTCTGTTATTGTGATTTATTTATGCAGCTATGCACAAATATACATACATACATACATACATACTTACATATATATGCATATCTCTATATAAGCTTTTTTATAAGTTATACCATATTTAGTTTTGAAATATTTTCACTATGATTGCAATTTGAATTCAATTTACTTCAGTTCATTTATTTTGTTATCACCCACTTTGCTATATTCTTTATACTATATTGCTATATATGTATGTATGTATATTTTGAAACATATGCACATGTTCTGCTGTATATTTATACATACATATATGTATACGCATATGAGCATATGCATCCTAATAATTAATACACTTTTGTGATTTATTTTGATATTTTACTTAATTGTTTACACATACTTGTTAAGATATGACTGTGTACACTATCAAAAATATCAGAAATGAATTGGTGATTTTAAATTTTTATTGGTTATGTTCTTGTTTTTTCTTTATGAAGGAACGGCGCCGGTAATGCCTTTTATGCCCACATTGGCGCGTCAATTAGGCTTCTCTACAGTGGTCATCGGTACTATGTACACAATTTTGCCCATTGTTGGCATGCTGGCCAAGCCGCTTTTTGGATTCATTGCTGATCGGTAGGTAGACCAATTGATTTTGAATATTTTATTGATGGGATAGGCATATGTTTTTGTTGTAATAACAAAAAGTAATTGATGTACATACATATATGTATATGTATTTCTTCTCAAGATTGATATGATTAAAACAGTTTGATCCGTTAGAACAACACTAATAACAACAAGAAAAAAAGTTAAACTCAGCACCGAAGCCTGTACATAATCACTTCATAAACAAAAAAATTTATAAAAGAACTTGATTGCTGTAGTGGTCCGATCAGAAAAATTGCGCGCAGTTTATACCCTTGCCTTACACAAAAATCCAATCCGAATTTCGTGAAGATATCTAGTGAAATTGAAAAGTTTTTCATACAAAACCTTGATTTTGATTGTATAGTTTGTAAGGCAAATATAATATATGGTATAGTATTCTGATGTGAAAATTTCTTTGTAAATTCATCTCCCAATTAATCAATGTAAACGAGTCGTACCCGGATTTCTCTTCGGCTTCATATCTAAAAATGATTTTCAACAACAACATCATTAATCGGTTAACTAATTCACAAAAAAACATTTTATGATTAATGCTTTTATTTTTTAAGGTCTTTGTGATTTATAAATTAATTTCAAAACATACTTTCAGCTACCAACGCCATCGCACACTTTTCCTCATCGGCGAAGTTCTCACCGCTATAGCTTTTTTCCTCATACAATTCACACCAACCATTCCACAAGCACTGCCCACGATGGAATTTAATTGTCACGGCGGCGCATCCACGTTAAAATACTATTCCGAAATTGATAAGTGCATAGAAAACAATCTAGAGAGTTACTATGGTGATCGGGTGCTAACGTGTCAGCTATATTGCCAAACAGATCCAGAAAAAATTGATTTCGTTTGTGATAATTGGTTGCACAACAATAGTACAACCAATAACAATAACAACAAAAATGTTACATGCCCCGATCGCAACAGTCCCCAACTAAATTTCACCACATTTCTGGACATGGGTAAAATGGAAATGCCAGGTGATCATTTATTCTTTGTCATACCACATGATAGAGGTCAAATGAATGGTGAAAATATAACATTAAATTGTCCATATGATAAACCGTTATTCAATACAAGCTGTCACATTGAATGCAATGATGATTATTTCCAAAGTGAATTGACACAAAATACTGCAATCAGTAATGCTGATGTGTGGGGTATGCATCAGTTTTGGTATTTCTTCATTATGCTCATCGTAAGTTGGATCGGTATGGCGGTGGTGGTGAGCATTGGTGATGCGATATGCTTTTCAATACTGGGCGATCGTCATCATTTGTATGGGAAACAAAGGTTATATGGTTCCATTGGTTTTGGTGTGTTCTCCATTATTGCCGGAGTGCTAGTGGATCAAATGTCGCACGGTAGCGCGAGTAAAGACTATACAGTCGTGTTTTGGATGACATTGGTGATAATAGGTTTCGATTTGGTCGCATCTACCAAGTTAAAGGTAAGCGTTTGAGTGTATTGCTGAGTGTGGCGAGTATAATTTTGACACATAATGAATTGAATCGGGTATATCTATTAAGTTTTCCATATGTTAATACATATATATATGCATACATATGTGGATAGTGTGTCGAGCTGAGTCGATTTAGTCATGTCCGTCTGCCAATCTATCGATATGAAATTTCGCACACATCATTTTCCCCGCAAGAAGCTGCTGATTAGTCGAAATCGCCTATATAGGACTACTATATTTTACCAACCATCAAAATCAAGTTCAAATATTTTTCATTTGACAAGATACTGTTATTTGGCATGTGTTATTGTCCAAGACAACGTTACAATATTCTTACACATTGTTCAGAACCGACCACTATAGCATATAACTGCCATACAAACTGATCGATCACAATTAAATTTTTGTGTGTTAAATATTTTTAATTTGTGAACGGAATTATAGCAACCAAAGATAGTGTTTTTCCTATTTTACTTTTATTAGTTGACTTATACATCTCCAATACTTTTACAGCACACGCAAACACACCTCTCACCCAACATACTCAAAGATGTTGGCAAAATGTTTCTCTCCATTCGTTGTGTGATCTTCTTTCTTTGGTGTATCTCGATTGGCCTTTGCACGGCGCTCGTTTGGAACTTTCTCTTCATGTATTTGGATGAGTTGGGTGAAAAATTGGAGGGTTGTCAGAATTCCATGAAGACACTGGAAGGCATAGCCATGGGTATACAAAGTTTTGGCGGTGAATTGCCCTTTTTCTTCCTCTCCGGCTGGATATTGCGTAAGATTGGTCATATAAATTCTATGAGCTTAGTGCTTTTTGCTTTCGGTGTGCGTTTCATACTCTATTCGCTGTTGGTGGATCCATGGTGGGTATTACCCATTGAAATGTTGAACGGTGTCACATTCGGTATATTCTACGCCACCATGGCCTCGTATGCGAGTATTGTGGCACCGCGCGGCACTGAGGCGACTATGCAGGTAAGTACTGTGATGCATGCCTAACAACAAATCGAGTTGTAAATTAATTTTTCTACCACACAGGGCTTAGTCGGTGCCATATTTGAAGGTGTGGGTGTATCTATGGGCAGCCTTATCGCGGGTAATCTATTTGCCGCTGTCAGTGGCAGTGGCACTTTCCTGATTTTTGGCATTTTCGCCTTTATTGCATTTATCGTGCATGTGTTGGTGCAATGGCATTTGCAGCGCACTGGCCAAGGCGATGCTGATGCTAATGGTAAGCAAACGGTTATAGTAGGCAATGTTACACCAGAAGTGAATCATTTACCTGAAGAAAACGGTAAAATTTGGACTGTACATGCAACGAACCCAAAGGGTGTTGCTACTGAGTTCACAGATGTTGACTTAAGCTGAACTTAGGGAGTAAAGAAAGTGTGTATGAAGTCAATTTGGTACTCAAAAAGAACTTTTGGGGTAAATAATAATTTTATAGTAGTGAACTTGCTATTTACGCGTTATTAAAGTTATAAAGTAAAAAGTTAAAAGTTTTTATACATAATTTCCAAAGGGTTAATTGCACACCAAATTGATTTTTTAGCTACATATCGTGTGGCCTTATTTAAGATTTTTGATTATTGAAAAAACGAGGTCAACTGTAAATTTAAAGATATTTTATAAATGAAAAACGAGGTCAGCTGTTCAGTACTATAAAAAAAATAACTCACGTGTTGTTCATATAATATGTGCTCAAATGACTGTCCAAACAGTTTTTTATAAAAAAAAAAAWTCATCAAATTTCTAAATAACTGTTATTAAAAATCAGTAATTAGTGACTTTTTCCAAGGTTTTTGGTATTTTTATACAAAAAATGTCAATTTTAATAAATAAATTTTAGTTACATTAAAACTGTAAAAGCTTTACTAAAGTACAAAATGCTCGTGCGCCAGTATAAAAATTGCATTTCCGACAATATCAACATCAGGTAACTCAAAAAATCAAATTTAATTATTTTTGAAAGTATTTGCATGCAGGCTTCGTTATTTAATTAGTGCTTTGAAAGTATATGTATTCATGAAATTGTAATGTTTGTGTAATTTCGAAAGTAATTTGTAGTATATTCGAAAAATTTGTTCTCTCAGGCATTTGCTTTGACATTTTTGTGTTATTAAATGTGGTGTAACTTGATGAGATTTGTTGAGTATTATAGAATATAACGGAACGCATTTATCTAAGCATATTTATTTTATCGAAAATCGAAATTAGTGGTTTGCTGTCAACACAGCAGTTTTAGAAAAGCTTCTTGATAGTTTATTCTATATAACAATTACTATTATCATCAGGCATGCGAATTTTCTCTGTCAAGAATTTTTATTTAAAAATTAAATTTTTAATTCAGATTTCGATTTTGTGGTTTACAAATTAAAAATCTAATTTTATAGGTATTTTTTATTTCATTTTAAAATTTTATTATTTAATTGAAATTAAAATCCTTCCAAATTAAAACCACAACCAAGAAGCGACAAAAAAGAAGCATTTCCGTGTTTATAACTGGAGCATCATAATTAAAAGTAATTATATGTAAATGAGGCAACCATGTAGATATGTCATTAAACTGTACTTTCCCTTGCAAAAGAAAGACAAAATGGAGGAACCAAAATGTAAAAATGAAATTTCCTATTTTAATTCAATCGATCGATTAATAATTAATAATCGATTTTAAGTTTTCCCATTTATATTATCATTTTTTAATGCACTATTTGCAAATCTGGACGAGTCCATGCAACCCGAATAGGCCGGTTAAATTTTATAAATTCAGAATTCATTGGGGATGTTTTTGCGTTCATGCAATAACAACGACTTCGAGGCTTATTATTTAGAAATTAATATTAAATTTGCTGCGTTAATCGGTATGTGGAAAACGTAACTTAAATAATATAATTTTGCCGATACAGCACACCAAGTTATAGATTTTTGGTTTGTTGTACAGAAATGAATATTACATTTACAATGTACGTACATCAACTATTTTAAAAATTTCTGCTGCTTTTAAGGAAAATATGACAGAACAATGATTAAAAAAAATTTAAAACTACAATTTTGCTATGTATACTTTTTGAAAGCAAAATCGTTGAAGAATTATCGTAGATCCCGCTATCAGTGTCAATTTCAAAACTTTCTCTATCACTTTAGCATAATTTCGAAATCTTTAATTACCTACACGCTCTTATCTTATTTACTTTGTTAGGCATTTATTTCCCATTGTGCACTACAAATTCAGTTTTAACTAATCATTTTTAATAGTCAACTGCTATGAACAAACTTAAATTTATATACTTGTGCGTATTGTTATTGCCTATCGTAAATTTGTTTGTATTAAACTTGGAAAATCTTATCTAAGTTGTGCTAATAAATATTACAATTATTTGCCAACGCCTGTCAACATGTACATCATGCATACGGATATATAGAGAAATATCGCAGCGCATATCTGAGTGAATGTGTTGCATGCAAATGAGGATTGTACATCAATTGTTACAATTACCATTACCGACGTATATTTGTCTGTAAATTGACTTTCTTGGGAGAACGTTCTATATAATTTGCATTTTGTATTTTGTTGTATTGTATATTTAACTTACCTGATTTTCTTATACACTATATATTATTTATTTACTTTGCATTTATTTAACGCTCGTTTCGACACACTTGCAGGCGCTGTTAAATATTTGACGCCCAACGATGCAATGCATATGCTCAACGATCAAGAATACAGTATTGTCGCATAAATAAGTGATTCGATTACATTAAAGATGCTAAACAACTGTTGAACAGTTTTTTGGCGTTAACAGTTATGCAGTGTACCGGTATTTTATATGGCTGAGGAACGTGTTGTAGCTACCTGCACTTGCTTTGAAGTTTTTATTTTACCCTGAGCTGTGAACACTTTCAACCTGTTGCGTACTTATTAGGAGTGGCAATTACACGCAGCTAACGCGAAAGCCGTGTACCAACTCAGTTAATAGAACAACATAGTATTTATATGTTATAAAATAATTAAAATAGTAAGTTAGCTGTTATTTTTGTGGTATGCTTGGTGTTTTTTCACTATTTTTCTGTTTTTGTTTCAAGCAAATCATTTTTGTGTTTTAAATATCCAAGAGGCATTATTTTGTTCTATACTTAGTGTTTACAAACTATGTTAGCACAATTGGTTATATTGTATTAATTTAATTAAGCAATAAGTAATTAAAATAATCTTACAAATTTCGCAACTGCTTTAAGTGCACAAAGTTTTAGGCTAGTGCTAACTAGTATTCTTCATGCTTGCTTAGTTAATTACTGTGTTAATGTGTTTCTCTGAATGCGCTGTTAATTGAAATAGGTTTTCTGTTTACAAAATACTTACGATATGTGCACTTGGCTTGAAATCACTAAATACATATCTACATCTGTAATATTTACTATTTTCTATAATTATTTAATAATAATTTTACTACCGTCATTCGTTGCTTCAAAACCAAAGCATTTGAATTTTGTGCACAACTTTTTTACTGGGCACAAAAACTTAAAAAAAAATAGAAAATAAAATTAATTTTGTTAGCTTTATAGTATTTTTAAACATGCGTTATTTATAGCTTAAGCATAAATTGTACTATATACGATAAGGCATGGCGCTCAAGGGCATTATTTTTCTTTCGAATATTTGTATTCATTTATATTTACTCGTAACATAAAATATATAAAATTTTACTTTTTAACTAAAATAATATGCAAGTCTTTGATGTATGTATATGTATATATTTTTCTAACACAAGTTTACATACGAAAATTCCCAGAAGGCTTTCGTAACACGTTGACTACTCTTGTTGGTGACTTCATTCTGACTGCGTCGCAGCTTGCGTTTGTTGCTTTTTGGCGATTAAAGATTCCTCCTGTTGTTGTTTCTGTAATTTGCGTTGTAGCTCTTTATGTTTGCAGGCCTGCACGTGGATTGCGCGTTTCTGTTTAATTAGACGAAAGTTATTGTAGATAAACACTTATCTCAACACAATCAAGAGGTTGTAAATACTTAAAATAGAAGTGTGTTTTACAATCTCAATGCTGTATATAATTACCTTCAACACTTTACTGCGCTGATAAATGCTTTGCATTTGCTTTTTAATCTTAACCAACTTTTCCCGATAAATTTTCACATTGTTCATCTGAAAAACAACAATAGCAGTGAGAGCAATAAAGTAAAATAGTAATAAAACATTATAAAACGCCAATTTAGGCTGTACCCAAGCTATAATACTGTACAAAAGAGTCCATAAAAGAATTTTACTTTTGGTTGGTTGTTTTGTTCAGCTTGTACATATGATAAAGTGCTTCGATATGAACAATTTCTTCAGAGTTTTAACGTTGACTTCGACAATGTTGTATGCCAAATTTTGTGCAGAAATCTACACAAATCTTTCGTTTATAGTGGTCCGATATCGGCGGATCCGACAAAGGGTAACGTGTGCCACATTTAAGATAAGGAGAAACTAGTTCGCGTATTTACAGACAGACCCATATGCCTAAATAGACTTAGCTCGTCACGTTGATCATTTATTAATATACTTTATAGCGAAACATTGAAGAATTATTATTATTWATTATAATTTCAGCTAATTAATGCTAGACGAAATGCTCTGCGATAAGCAGCTGCCATAAACGTTCTATTGCTTTCAACTATGATAAAATTCCAGCTAGTTTGGTTAGCAATTTTTTCTATTTATCTAGCAATTTTAAGAGAATCTATACATTGTCGCATATTTGTATATTCAAAAAGACTGACGAAAAATTGTATTTAATAAATTAAATAGATCTCGAAAACGAGAAATGTACTGATAAACTAACTTCGAAGTTTCTAAACAAATATTCGCTTATATTTATACTATACATACATAACTGTAAATAGCAGCTCCACAAATCAAATTCACTTACCATTTCGTGTAGCTTCGCCGTCTCAGCGTTATCCAATTTGAATTTTTCCGCCGATAAATCAATGTAAATTTTATTCTGTTTACCACTTTAAGAATACGTTCATTAAAAATTTACGTGTAGATTCAAAACGAAAATTCATGCAACTTACATGAGCTCCTTCAATTGTCCGCGCGCTTTTACTAGTGGGGGCTCAAAAATTTGCAAGAGACCTGTGGCCAACTGCTTGGTAGCCAATGAATCGGGCAATTCATCGGTGGTTTTTGTTGTTCGAACGATATTATAAACCTCATTGTTATTTTTACCAATGCCATTGGACGGCGTGAAGGTGTTTCTATTCACTTGTGTTATAGCCTCATCTGCACTGAAGCTGTTGTTGTTATGCAGCGTTACGGGCACTTGTTGCAAATCAGCTGCGCTGTTCGGTTGCTGACCTTCCGCTTCCACTGCATTAATAATACTGAATACAAGAAAATACAGCATTTGCTTTAGTAATTGCTTGATAAATTAAAAACACAGTTTGATAGAGTGAATTTATCACTAGGCAGACTCTACCGAGCACGAACAACGCTTTATGACCTACATATATTTATAAGATTTCGTTGTTATTGTTGTGTCACTTGTAGCTGTCGACCCTCTTGGAAGGTATTGCAAAATAACTTGATTAAGAATCTTATTTTAATAGCACTCACCTTTCTAAGTTACTACTTTTCAACATTTTTGTAGAAATAGAGCAGATTTAATAATTATATTATGATGATACGATTTATTCAGATATTTTTTGCATTAATTATGAAAAGAAATTTCGACAACAAATAGGAAAATTTAAGAAAGGTAGAATAAAAGTATAAAAATGATGTGAGTAGGAAAAACAAAAACAATAGTAGGTGCTGCCAGACGATAGAAAAAAATAGGGTTTTTTATTTTCTTTTGATATGTTTAAAGAGAAACAAAATAATTACTCACGGAAACGGATATGCCATTAATTGAGTTCAAATAGTCAATATTCAGGAAGTGATATAAATAATTAATATCGAATAAATTCCGGCAAGATATAATATTTTACAAATTAAGGAATGCGAGTTCATAGAAAATAATATAATTTAAGCAAAACGAACTTGTCAAAGGAGCCATGTTCTTAAAAACAAAAACAATTACTTTGTGCTTTCTGCCGAGAGCAAAATTAATTAGCAGTTACTTGATTTTCTGTTGAATCCCTTCGGTAAGTGGGACGAGTTCGATTTATTCACTGAAACGAATATAAAAACTTGCACACATTTTATTTGAACTAATCATAATAATGTTTATAAAATTATAGAAAATCAGCCATTAAAATTACTATAATTCATCCTGCCAGTATTTTTTCAACACAAATAGCGACTTATTGTACACACATATAGAAATGGCTAAGAATGAATTATTTAGTAGGCAATACTAAAACTAGTAATTTAGCATTTCAAGCAGAGGTCTTTATTAATGGGAAAACCGCTGAGTTTTCTAATGTATTAAAAGCAACTCTAAAGTTAATATCTACGTGGACAGTCGAGCAGCACTCAAGGCAGTTGTCTCAGTTCGTATATCAGGTAGAAGTGTTTTGGGAAACCGGACAGCAGTGTAGAGTGTGGGCCGGGTCACAGAGGCTAAAAGTCATGTACGGCTGTCTCCCGAACATTTGATCGTATTTGGTATACCCGTGGATTGTCTGTACGACTATCTGAACAGGAGCAGACAAGGAAGATCAAAGCGCGATGGAATGTCTTCCGTGCATAAAGCGTTAGATCAAATACACAAAATTCATACTGGACTCGATAGTAGGGACTGTAGCTTGAGATTATGATATTGCTTACCCTCTGAATAATTACTTTACGACATAAAATGTCGGTAGCAAGTAATAAATTACATTTACTTCCGTGAAGGTAGTGTCTAACCAAATACAAAGTTCTAGGGAATGGCGAGTGAAATTTCGCGTTTGAAGGCAAAATACTCATACCATTTTTACAGTGCTAACAAATTGTTATATAGCCTAGAAGTTACATACATATGTATATATATAAGATTGTGCAATATCCAACATAATAATTATTATTGTGAATACAATTTCCCGTTGATTCAGGTAATAAACATCGTTTTTATTAACTTCAAATTTGTTTATTCAGCATGCCACTGCATTTACATACATACATAATTTATAATATAATGAATTTTTTTAGTATTTTTTTTTTATACATGTCATGCAAACACAAAATATTTCATATATTTTCGCGATGTAAAAACCTAAGCATTAAATAAATGAAGCTAACTAAATTAAAATGCTAAAATGTATAAATTATTTTACATAAAAGTGTAGCTACATAATTAAAAATAATTACAAACATGAAAAAACTAAAATAAAATCATTATGTGAAGATAAAATGCAAATAAAAGCCTTTACAAAAGGATTTGTATGCTAACTTTTATAATATAATTTATTTCTTATTTTAAAGGCATTCGATAAGTCATTGTTGATCTTTTCTTTTTCCAATTTATGCAAATAACAAACACTTGCGCTTAATATAACACTCCGTGAAACTAACTAAATCTAAAGCTGGGTAAACCAGTTGATTTAATTACTATATTTGAAGAAAATCTACGTTTATCCTTTCTTAAAGTCCAATATGTCTTCTATCGTGGCTGCACGTGCTGCATCGTTGTTGTCCTTTTCCAATTCCGCACGCACACAGCGGCCACAACACGCCTCAGACGGGTTGTTATCACACTCACCCACAGCTGGTGGTTTAAAATTAGGTGTCCATGGACCCAGACTGCCGGTCGCATAGAAGTCCATTGGATATGCATTGTTTTTCGGTGCTACGTTATGTGGCGTAAACTCGACATCACCTAACACAACCGACAGTTCATATGGATTCAGTAATGGTTTGGCAAAGGCGGTGCCCCAATCTATGGATAAGCGTGGACACGCAATTTGCACAAATGCATCAATGCCGGCAAATAGCGCCAACTTTTGTGGAAATATCTCAGATAACAAAATTGTTGTTGTAGCATAACCTTTGGCATGCAAACGCTTTTCGAGAAATTTATGCACACGACTACTGCCTTGTCTGCCCAAAGTACCGACAATAATGCCAATCTTCTTGGCAGACTGTGCACGTTCTATTTCGCGATAACGTATTGACTGCATAGCGCGATGATCATATTCCTCAATGGTGAATTTTTTATCGTAAGGGTCATATTTATATGCTTTCAAAGTAGGATTCGCTATCATAGACGATTCCAAATGGAAACGACCATCGCCGAGATAAATCAGCACCTTAGCGGTGGCAGGCAATTCAGGCGATGTGCAACCCAATATTTCTCCGGGACTTAAGGGTTTCGCTTGTGGCACAATCACATCATAGCCAGCTGCTTTAAGTTCGGCGGAAGCCGCTTGTAGCGTTGTCACAAATTGTATTGTACTCACGAGCGCAATTTGGCCATCAGTCGGTTTGAAATTCATTTTAACGGAATCGATGAAATGTAATGGATCAATTTTAATATCCACAAAGACATATAGCACTTTAATGTCACTGGTCTGATCGACCGGTATGAGACAGCTATGTCCATAATGCACCAATAAATCAGCACCCAAAGCCTTGGCGGTGTAATCGTCCACACAACAGGCGCCATAAGTGACGTCACCCATGATGACGGTGTCGGCATCGGTGAAACGTTCAATTATATCAGCAATAATCATTGAATACATAAGCAGTCCCTCGGGTAGTTGCAATGCTACGCGCTTAGCTTTCATATCACGTATGCGCCAGATGGTTTTGTGCAGCTCAAAGTTGTAATTGGATGGCAGACGATCGATGGCCTTCTGCAGCACTGGATCATCGAGCAGTGACTGTGGAATGCGATTGATGCGCGCTTTGGGCTTGAAGACTTTCTTCGGCTTGGCGCGCACCACAACGATTTCATTGTTGGTCGTGGCGTTAGTGGCAGCTTCTTTAAGTGTTAAGTCCATGTTGACTGGCGGGATTATATCCAACATTGTGCTGCGATAAGAAAAAATAAAAAATAAATAAATAATTCTGCTTTTTAACTTGTTGATAACTTTTTAGTAATTAGTTTATGTATGCTTGTGAATAAATAAAGGAATTTTGGATCATTTATACAAAAAAATTATAAAATAAATTCGATTCACTTCAAACACTTCAAAGATCAGACAGACATCATCACCGTTATCAAATTATACAATATATGTATATGTATTAAGGTTATCTTTCTAGAGTTAAATAATATTTTGACTACATTGCTTATCGCAAAATGGTTTGTATATTCAATTCCTCTTGAAATTTTAGTACGTTATGAATGAAATCAAGAAAAAAACATTGACATAGGTTGAACTGAAACCATGTAATTTCATACAAAAACTTGATTTTATCTATCTAAAAAAATTGTTGTATATAAATTTCGTGTATAAATCTCATCATATATATATTAACTCAAATTATTACACATAAAAATAATTTATAACGTCTCTGAAGTTGCCTTCTGTTTGTTAGAAAACTTCGTGGCAAACTTGCCCTCTGTTCAGGACTTAATGATACATTTCGAATATTGTATGTATAACAAATCTGCTTGAATTATTGCTAATTAAATATTATTGCTTAATTCAAGAAAGGCGTTGCTACTTATTACGTATACATGCATGCCACCTTTTTCAGCAAAAAGTTCTTAGTAATAACTTCGAAGTTGTAATGAATTTTTTTTTGCTATGTGCCGCACAAAGTTGAGCTTATTAAACTTTATGACGCATTTTTGAAAGTTCTTGTGCGCACACACTCAATATAAATGCATTAAAACTGGTTTTATTATTACGCGAATTTATAAAAATGTATAATTTAAAGCAAACAACTGATGATTCATAACTACATATATTAACCCAATTTCAGCTCTTTAGTATAAGGCTTAATGCGAATCAGGGGGAACACCGATTTTTCATACAAAATAAAGTTTGAGACCATGTTGGTCATAAGGTTTTTAAAATGATTCGATACTTAACACAAAAAAGGTTATTATAAAATATTAAAAGTAAACAAAAAAATTAAACTAAATGCGGAAATCTGAACTAATTGCATATAAATGCGCCGATTACTTGCTTTATATACCAAGTTGTACAACATTTGCTGAACAGCATTGCGATTTTTAATTGTGTTTTGTGTTTAGTTATATATATAACTAATTACTAAACACATTTCCGTCAAAAACAATAACAAAAAACGAGTAAATTGTCTATATTTTTAGCTAATTAAGAAAATGCTAATTTATCACACCCGAATACAATCTAACTGACAAAGAAAAGTAATGTATATGCAATAAGTAGAAAGGTATTTAGATATGTACATATGTATGTATGTATGTATACCACAAAAAGCGGTGGCCTACGTGAGCAATTTGCACTATGCAAAAGCTGCAACAGAAACAACCCAGCGAAAAGATTTCCAGACATGATATAGAGAAATATGTCCGCTAACACAAGTAATTGTAAGTTTCAAAAATAAAAGGCGTTGCAAACGGTCCTTCTGATGCTCAGAAAACTTTGAGATTTTCACGTGGAACGCCGGCAAGCGTTATCGTTGTAATTTTAAAAAGGGGGCTCGCCCAAAAGTATTCACATACATATTTGCAAATATACTTAAATGCAGCAATTAGCAATATAACTGCAAAAATTATTGTAGTCACGTAGTGGTAAAATCTTACCCAAGACAGAAGCTTATTAATGAATTTGGTTATTATACCAACAGTTACTCAATTGCAAGGCATACATAACTATTATGCAAACAAATAGACGTATGGATGTACAAATGCATATGTGTGAATAAGAATATGTGGCTATTTTTAATACGATTGATGTCAAGCAGCTTTTCGCAAGACTTACCTTGGTGTTTGGGTTTTGTTGTTGCCTTAGATTAGTGTTGTTGCTTTGGTTTGTGGCAAATCACGAGATTAATTCTATTTTATTTTGTTAAATAAGCTCACTTTATGTCATTAAACTTTACACAATCTCTTTATTTTTTGACCATTGACACTAGTACACAATTATTATATTAAACAATTTGTATTACTCAATTAGTGAAAATTTATTAAAGTTGTCTAAATACTCTTCTGTTGACTGCTGCTTCTCACAACTTTAATAACTGTAATGTTTTATTATATTATAAATATTATAACGTCATTTTTATACACAAACTTGTTTCAACACTTTTGCCCAAAATATACGTCTGGTTTGCTCTGCACCGCCGCAGTAATTGATTTGCGTTCGCCGTTAATATTTCTTTGCTTGGGCTTGGTGTTGCATTTTTGTTTACCCTCGCTGTGTTTTCTTTTGTTTTTGGTGTTATTTCGCACGTATTGTTGTTGTTATTGTTGGCTTTTGAAGTTTGTCCACCATTGGCACATGTTCATGAGTCACGTAGGCACCTGAGCACAGAGCAACTAGTGAAATCAGCTGTTCGCCTTTTATCACGGTAGCGCTAAGGAAAAAGCTACGACACGTTGATGATATTATAGTAAACGGTGTTAAGCTTAACCATTGCACTGTTTTGCATCCCGATTAATATTTACAAGTTTTTAGACTTAAATTTCGCGATGTTTTGTTGAAATTTAAGAACTATCGCCAAAAATTAACAGGAAACACATGAACAAATAAAACGTCAATGGCAAAGTGAGCTGTCACATCGCGATAAGAGCGTAAGAGTGTTGGAAAACAGCACGTTACCTAAACACAGGGTTACACATTGTTTCAATCAATTTAATAAAGAAAAAGATTGGCATAAAATATATTTATACCGATAAATTACATTAGATTGCATTTGTCCATATTATCGATTTAGATCAAAATCGAGTTTAATATTTACGTTTTATTCTGCATATTCTTACAAATAAAACAATATATTACAAAAAAAAAAAAAAAAAAATAGGAAATCAAACCGTGTGTTAAATGTTGCTTATTTTTATTTTTGCCATGTAAGCAACAACAAAAGCGTAACTTCAATTTTTTAATATGTGCTACCAGTATTTATAGTAGAATTTCATTAATTTCGTTCAAGTTCTAGCGCTGTCGATGTCAGACGGATCAGCTTCATCCCCTTCTTCTATAAAATGTTAGAAAAAAGTTAATTATTGTTTCTTTTACATAATGAGTGGAAAAACAATAATAGATCACCTACGCTTGTTGCCAGGTATACGTCTTAAACGTTCCTGCTCTACAGCTACGAAATACTCTGCCGCTGCCTGCTCACAAGCATCTTTAAATGGCGCAACATTAATGCGCCCGTTGAGCATGGTTAGATCACCTTGATCCTGACCTTGATTCGTCTTGACTTTCAGCTTGATTTCACGTGATTTAGCTTCCAAAATTTTCTCTCTGCGATTTTCACGTTCAAACATCTATAATGAAAAATCGATAGTTACTACACAAAAATCGATAACTAATGTAATAAAGACTATTAATGTTTTTTTGTAATATTTGCAAAAGTGTAAATCTTCTAGAAATACTAAGAAAAATACGCTCACTCACCGCCGTCAGCAACGGTTTGTCATTTTTCGCTGACATCACCATGTTATCGGATACTTCGATAAGAAAAGTTGCACCATGCTTGCTGCCGCAGCTGACATATTTACCGTTTTCATTCGTGCGCACACAATGCAGTGGCTCATCACAAACTTTTACTGTTAAAACTGGTTGATTTTGTTGTTGCAATAGATCCCAAGTGTCGAGAACGCCATCCATGCGCGTGATGAAGAATTGCGAAACCCTGAAAATCAATAGAATTATATTTAATACTTTAAGTAAAACACTAATTTATATTTTTAACTTCGATGTTTCTTTACTTCGTGTAACTCCAAGCGCCATCGGTCAGCATAGCGTCACTATTTTTTGTCCATATTATCGAGCTCTCACGGCAATCTTCGGACCAAATGCGCGCACACCAATCGCCGACGGTTAGGAAATTCTTTACAAAGGCCGGATTTCGCGTAATGGCATACACCGGGCCCAAGTGACACATCATCTAGGGAGAATATGTGTAATGGAACACTGTATGCAAATATTGCTTCAATTATAGCTCACCCGTATCTGTATCTTCTCCATGGGTGTTTTGCCCTTGCGATTACACGAGAATAGCATACCCATTTCGGTGCCAGCCATAAAACGTGTTGGTATTGTAGTTTCATACTCTAGCACCGAAACGCCAAAGGAACGTGCCAGATCTTGCTCGTCACTACGTATTGGATCCATCAATAATTTATCCAACGGTTCACTCAATTTACGCGTATCCCACCATAGCACTTGTCCATCGGAACCACCAGAGAAGAATTCCGTGCCACTCTTCGAATTATTCCACAATACCGAGTTAACTGGATCACGATGACATATCTCACGTTCACTAATCATCACTGGAAACTTGCCATGTCGCGTATCCCAAGCGGCCACCTGCCCATTATACATGCCACTAACCAAACTTGTTGGATCCTTCTGATTGTATTCCAAACATACACACGGCACTTTCGGTTCGAGCGTTAGAAACGGTTCATTTGGATTCTCAATCTCCCAAATGTACGAATTGCAACGCTGCCCCGTTTTATCACCCTGAAATTTCATGTCACAATGACTGACTGCCATTTTAATTCCACCATCCGGTGACCACGACAAATGTGTGACCGGCACTTTTAAGGGATTGGGATCACGATAAACGTTAACGGTGCGTGAGCGACACGGTTCAGGCAATGGCGCCGGATCGAGATCCTCAAAATAATTTTCATAAATATTCACCGCATTATTTTGATGTATGTAATGTTCCATTGGTTTAGTGAGGTTCATAACTTGCGTTATGTAGTTTTCGTCTTTCTCAATTTTCCTTTTATAACGCACCGTCTGCTCCGGATCGGACATATTAATATCTTTAGGCCAACCACCTTCGTTATGCGTGATACCAACATGTTTGTATGTCGCGCGTTCTGTGTTTGCCTCACTCAACGCCATTTGTCGGGTGAAAAGCGTTGCGCGATCCATCGGATTCTTAAGTATGTAGCTCTTAGCGAGCTCTTGCGAAGAGTTTTCCGAAAAGATAACCTCATCTTTGTCGCTGAAGCTCGCACTAGCGCCGAAGGTGCGTCGCTCTTTCTTAAAATTATACTCCATTTTATGATTTTTTTTAGCTATTGTTAAAAACTAAATAATTTCAACACATTTTCAGCACAACTGAAGGAATGCAACTATTAAATCCATATTAAAATAATAAACTGCAGTTGCCTGGCAACATCGCTTAATAACTCTACTATTCAGTTTGTGCAATGGCAGCACTGTTACTTAGTTAACGGTCAATTAACCGTTATTTTTATCGTAAATAATTTGTTCAAATACATAATTTTCCGTGAATCTATAAAAAATGACAGGCGTTGCGCCCAAAAAAATAGCTGAGCTCAATGCAGAGCTAAAAAACGCCTTAATTACTGCCATTATACTCACAAAGGCAACGCCAAAGACTTTTCTCGTACGCGATTCACCTGAATTTCGTGGCGTTATGAGCTTTACGCTGCGTGACTCCAAACGACACATCATCAATTGTAAAGTTTGGGGCACCAAGGAGCTGGTCGTTGAATATAATCGTAAATTCAAGATTTATGACATCATCGATGTCATCTCGCCGAGCGTCGTGCCCACGCTGGTGCACGACAAATCCACTTTGGCGGATAATGCGCGCTTTCAACCGCTGCCAACCGTGCCGTTCTCTCTGGTGCTAAATGAAGGTCAAGGTCGGTTGGACACTAACAACTACCGCGTTATAGATGCCTTTCATGAGTTACACAATTTGCGTCGCGTGCCACATAAGGCGCTCTGCAGTGCGCTGAAATTACAGGATGTGCGCAGCGTTGTGAAGGAAAGCAGCGCCAAAGAGCAATACGTCGATTTACTGGTTTTGGTGGCGGCACAGCGCCCGGTCAAAGAGGTGCGCAGTAAACGCAGTGGTGAAATGCTAAGTTGTCTTGAGTTGATTGTGATCGACAGCAGCTACAGTGACGGTGTTATGCTGAGCATTTGGCAGGCCGATTGGATACTGCGCGCGCAACAATATTGGGAAGGTATGCACACGGTGTTGCATTTGATAGAAGTGAAGCTTGCGTTCTCGGATTTTTACAAAAGCACCACGCTAACATTCAGTGGACGGACTTTGGTCTATGAGAACCCCATTGGCGCGGAGGTGGATGCCGTAATGCAGTTTGCCGCTACTATAACAACGAAGCCTTGGGATTCGTTGGCATACACAATGAATAGTCAAGTAGATGGTAAGCAGTTGTGTTGAAAATTTCATAACTACACAGTTTGAACAATATTCTAGCTGCTGAAATAAAAACTCGGATGACAGTTAAACAGCTGTACGCGCGCGCTGAAGGCGAACTCAAAGATGACAAAGAGCAATTCACCGCCGTTGTCTATGCCATGCTGACGCATTTCGACTTTGATGGCATCGGTCAAATCATCGCTCGCAGATGGTAAGAGCAAATGCTATATAAAGGTCATATCATACCATCAAATTACTCTACTCTCAACCAGCAAGTCCTGTCACAGTTTGCTTACGAGAAATCAGAACGAGTGTGATGCGCCTAAATGCCAGCTGGAATTTTCACTCAACCACGATGGCGCGCAGTACGAAAGCTTTTTCAATATTAATGTGAAATTTAGTGATCATACTGGTACATTGGTAGAAGCGCGTCTCTCAGGCGCTATAGCCGAACGCGTGCTCGCGCTAACCCCAAACGAGTATCAAACGCTAAGCGAGCATGAGAAAGCGCAATGCAAATGGAAATTTCTGATGGATTATTTTGAGGTGAAGCTCTTGGTGCGTAAAGTGAGCGCTGTACGCCGACAAATGAGCGTTATTGTGGTGGATATGAGAATTATACAGATACCAGAGTTAGCAGAAAAAATTTGCGTGTATTAATAACAAACCACAATAACAAAATGTAGTTTTATTTCCATAAATGTAGAATATAGTTTTCTTATAAAAAATATATTTATCTGTCAATTATTTATCCTTGTCCGCCATACGCTTCAGCACTTTTATGCGTTTATCGCCAACTGTGGCTTCTTTTTCTTCCGCACCGGGGGCGGCTACTGCACCCGCAGCACCGACCGCATTAGCGGCGCCCTTACCGCCAGCGGCTACCGTACCCGCGCCCGTTGCATTAGCCGCATCACCCAAACCACCTACGGTATTAATGCTAGAGGTACCTTGTACTGCCGCAATCTCTTCGGCGGTAAGTCCCTCTAAATCCGGTTCTCCTTCGACTTTCTCGAAATCGGTGCGCTCCATGACGAATTGTCGTTCTTGTCGCTTCTTATCAATATTGAACGTGCTGTCCTTGAATATTTTCAACATATCCTTGAATTCAGTGTCATTTTCGATAATCTGCAAGAATTGGTCTGGGTCATCGGGATCAAGTTCAGCCATCAAATCCAATTCGGCCTCGCGTTGTTTGGTGTCAGCTTCGAGGAGCGATGTCTTGCGTTTGAGTTTTACTTCCTCGACACGCCCTTCCAGCAATTTGGAGCGGAAAAGTTCGCGCTCGAAGAGCTGTAAGGGATAACTTTTTATGTAAATATGTTTTAAAAATATATAGTGTTGCCATTTATTAATCATGCTCACCGCCATTAGCAATGCTTTGTCCTTAGCGGCGCTCTGTCTCAAAGCCGGATCTAGCTCAAACAGTTGTATATCACCATTTTCCAGCGCCACTGCCAAGTATTTACCATCCGGACGAAACTTGACATATTTTATGGGCTGCTTCAATTTCAGCGTAAATATGGGTTTTCTCTGATGCAATAGTATGTCCCAAAAGTCGACTTCGCCGCGCGCATCACCAGTGACGAAGAGCGAACAACGCGCGGGACTCCACGTGCCACACAACATTTCATTCTTCTTCTTCATTAGTAGTGTCGTGGGCGCACCTTTACATTCCTCCGCCCAGATTTTCACACACCAATCGGCGGCAATTAGAAAATTCTTCACAAAAAACGGATTACGTTCGATCGTACGTATCGGACCCGAGAAGAGGCGATAATTGGAGATTAACACTTCTGTCGGCAACATACCCTTACGATTGCCGATAAATATGTAACCCTGATCGCTGGCTATAATATAACGCACCGGTATGGTATATTCGAATTCCAACACTGTTACGCCATGTGCGCGTTCGTTCTTTTGTTCGTCGGTTGGTTCGGGATCGAGTAAAATTTCCTGTATGGGTGTTTCCAAGTCGCGACCATCCCAATATTTCACAGAGCCGTCATACGAACCGCTGTAGAACTCAGAGTTCGATTTCGAATGCACCCAACACAAGGCAGCGGCCTCCTCACGATGTGCGGCCTCGAGCGGTGAAATTTTTAAGGGCTTACCACCATTCCGCGCATCCCACAGAGCTACCATGCCAGATTGGAGTCCTGCGGCTATAAAATTATCATCACGTGGACAAAAATGTGCACGTCGCACCGGCTCCGTCGATTCGAGCACCACCTCTGGACTCAAAGCGTTGCCTTGGTCCCAGACATAGAACGAGTTTGGATTGCCATCGGTACGCGCTGTCTCCTGTATAGTTTGAATATTTTCATCTCCGTCTTCTGTGTCAGCTATCGGCTTTGTGGTGATTACTGGTGTGCGTAATGGTGCCACCCGGTTGAAGTTGGTCGGCTGCGATAGGAATTTGCGCCGTTCGCTCGGCATCCAGTCGAGCACGGTGATAGGTCGTGTGGGTTTTAGCGGATCATGAAATATATTGCATTGTCGCGCCTCAAATGGCATGCGTATGTCCTTACCCAGCTCTGGTGGCAAGTCGACGAAAAATTCTTGATAAATATTTACTGCGCTATTTTGTGCCGTCACATCCATTGATGTGTGTATCAGATGCATTACCTGCACACCCCAATTGTCCTCTCGCTCGATTTTCTTGCGGTAACGCATTGTCGACTCTTCGTCGTTGATGTTCACTTCGCGCGGCCAGCCGCCCTCGTAATGATACATGCCATGCTCGGCGTAGGTGACATTATCCGTCTCCACCCAGCTATAGGCCATTTGATCGCTCAGCTGTGTGCTGCTATTCATTGGATTACGTAAGATATATGAGTTGCGCATGCGTTGACTCGGCTGTATGCTGAGCATCAGCTGTGTGCGATCGCTAAGCAAGGGTTGGCGTCCAAAGCGGCGACGCTCACGCGCATAAATGTACTGATTGTGATACATGAGTATGGAGCTTCACTTGGTTTTCAGTAATAAGCGGATTCTGTAGACTTTCTTCAAAGCTCACGTTCACTTATGAAATTATATTGAAATATATGCAAAAATATATATTTTTATCAATTAACGTTGGTAAAAAAAATTTTTAATTAGTAATTTGCAATAAAATTTTTTTAAACAATTTCGTTGAAAAAAAAATATTTAACTGCTATTTTTCTTTTTGACATTTAGTTGAAGATTATAGATGTTCCTAAAGATGTGTAAATCACGTGTTCGGAAGTGTTTTGAATTATTTTTATTAGAAATAAATATATTTTATCAGAACATTTTCACGCCGATTTTTTGTCAGCGCCATAATATTGTCGTTTTATAAAAAATTCCTTACAAATTTTTTTTTTTATCGGATTCTAGACTTGATTCGACTCGTGGGTAGAAGGTTCAAATTGCGGTCGGCTATTATAAGACTTTTTGATAAGTAATTCAGCTTTGCACGTGACAAAAATAACGGGTGATCCAAGTTGATGTACATTTTCAATATACAAGTTTTCATATAATTTTTAATCAGTATTGTTTGGCGTTTCATAATGGAAAGACTTACGCCTGAACAAAGTTTACTAATCGTTCAATTTTATTACAAAAATACCTTCTGTAAAGAATGTATTTCGCGCGCTTCCTGAACGTGCGATTCGCAACACAATCACCCATCTTGAAACCCAGCATTCATTATGGCATAATATTCGACCGAATAGACTACGTTTAGCACGCAGTGAAAAAAATATAGCAGCTCTAGCTGAGAGTATACACGAAGACCGTGGAGAGTCGTTGCGGCGCCATTCGCAGCAATTCGAACTAACGTATGGAAAGCTACGCTCTATGGGCTCTTGACAAATCCTAAACAGATTCCACATTTTCGAGCCAAATTTTGTTCAGCGATGATGTCCATTTTTGGTTCAATGGTTATGTAAACAAGCAAAATTACCTGCTGAAGATATTCATCCAGAAAAAACAACGATTTAGTGTGGTTTTCTGCCGGTAAAATCATCGGGGGGGATTTTACGAAAAGTTTTATTACTCAACGTATTTTTAATATAGCAGTTCCCTCGCGAAAACGTGTTGCCTTGTTCACAAAAATGGGTATAAGGATAGTTGTATTGCGAAAACTTTAGCGATCTATGTACATTGCATGGCACATAGCTTTAATCTAGCAATCAACTCAGCCTGCGAGGTTGTTGGTATCTGAAATGCACCAGGAAAAATTGGATTGTTACACAACTTTTTCCGTTGGCTAAAACGATCAGAAGTGTTGACAAGCGAAATTGAGAAGTCTAGAAATGAATGTCGAAAACTGAAATCTGTATGCCCAACAATATGGGCTGAAAGCCATGAAGCCGTGTCGACATACATACGTCGAATTGCATCCGTTCCTGATTAAATCATTAAAAAGAAACGTAACTTGGAAGGATCCGGAGACTTCAACTACGGCCTCTCAGCTCGTCGCTGCGATTTCTGCTGCAGAATTTCAAATTTCCTGCTTAATAATGCAATCCGTACATGCAGTCGTTCTACCTCTCAGCCGGCAATTACAATCGCCTGATGAAGATCTCGCAGAAGCCATTAGATTAGCGGACGACGCTTTAAAAAAGTTCGAAGGAATGCGACTTAATGCCGAAAAATACTTTTATTTTATTTTTAATTGAAGAAGTATGTAGCGAACTAGGTACAGAAATAAAGGTAACACGCTACAGTAGGCGCCAAATGAATCGCTTCAACTTGAAAACGAACGACACTGAGGAATACTATCGCATTGCCTTATATATTCCCTTTCTTAATACTTACATCGCTCATTTGAAAAGCCGCTTTCTTGGCCACAGATCAGTGTTAGAAAATTTTTGTGTATTTTTCCCAAAGCACGAATTTGACACTAAAAAGCTCAAAAATATTTTTCTTTTTATGAAAGGGTGATCAACTGTTCAGAACAAAATTTTCTTGCGGAGGTGAAAATGTGGAAATAGCGAACTTCAAACAAGCATTTTCGGAATGATCTCGAAGCTTTAGAAGCTGTGAACAACACGTCTTTTTTGAATGTTTTCAAGATTTTACGGCGTTATTGCCTGTTTCAATAGCATTACTGGAAACAAGTTTTTCAAGTTTAAAGAGAATTAAAACCTATTTACGAAATACGACAGGTCAAGATACTGATCTAGCATCAATGAATATTCATAGGGATATTGATCTGTCAGTTGATGAAATACTAGAAGAATTCTTTCAAAAACCAAGGAAAATATAACATGGAATGAGAGATTCCGTGTAATTTCGATCAAAAATTCATAAAGCTCCTACCATGGCTTACCCGAAGCGCTGACCTAAATTCTATTGAGCATTTATGGCAATATTTATATGATAAGTTCGGCCGATGTTCTTGTCGTTCTAATATACGAGAGATTTTCAATACAGGGTCCGGCACTCGAAGTGTAACGAATTAAAAAAACGATAATTTCGGTTTGGAAAATTACTTATATTTTTTTTTTAAGTACAAAATGTGTGAAAATAATCATAAATTCAGGACCAGTTCACTTTTGCTCGATATGACCACCTTTTGCCTTAACTATGGCCTTGAGACGGTCAAAAAACGAATCGCAAGCTGCCCGAATGTGCCTTGTAGGGTATTTTGGTCCACTCACGGACAATGGACTGAAGGACTTCTGAAAAAC